TTATCTATTATTTCCAAATCTACCATATCATTAAAACTATGAAAGTACTTTTTGTATTATACAATAAATATTCTTGCATAATTCCCTTGTTCTATTAACCTTTCAAATACATTTACAGTGATTAATTATCAAAGGTGAATGGCAAAGGGAAATAACTTTGCTCAGCAGAAAACAAGTTAATAGAGCCCTGACCAGGACCAGAACACTTGACTAGGTGCAGGTGCTCAAAATTCTCATAAAAATACCTTTGCATATTAAATTTTTTACTCTGTTTGCCTCAAATATGCCCAGAAGCATAGAAGATTTTCAAAGAAATGCATTTTCACTATATTATTAAATAAATAAAGCCCCACCCTTACACCAGAACATCTGACCCAGGGGCCATGAACTCACAATTCTGGAAGAAGCACCCTTGTTCATCATAATTATACACTTGTTTATTTGCTTTATAACCAGTAGTAGAAAAAAATATTTTGAAAGAAATTATGCATTTTCACTATATAATCAATAGAGTGCCCCCCCCCCCCTTTCACCAGAACCCCTGACCCAATGGCCATGAATTTCACAATTTTGGAAATGAAATTCTTCCTTATCATAACCTTGCACTTCCTTTGTTTGAATAATACCCAGGAGCAGAGAAGAAGATTGTGAAAGAATTTATGCATTTTCAATATATAATCACTAGAGCCCCGTCCTAACGCCAGAACCCTTGACCCAGGGGCCATGAAATTCACATTTTTGGAAGAGGCAACCATGATCATCATATGAACTTAGTTTATTTAATATACAGGAGCAGAAAAAAAAGAATTAATGCAATTTTACTATATAATCAATAGAGTCCCGCCCTAACACCTGAACCCATGACCCTGGGTCCATAAAATTCACAAATTCTGAAAAGGCAGTCATGCTCATCATAACTATGCTCTTAGTTACTTTATTTAATACCCAGGAGCAGAGAAGAGGATTTTCAAATAATTTATGTATTTTCACTATATTATCAATAGAGCCCTGCCCTAACACCAGAACCCCTGACCCTGGGGCCATAAAATTTACAATTTTGGAAGAGGCACTCTTGCTCATCATAACTATGTACTTAGTTACTTTATTTAATACCTAGGAGCAGAGAAGAAGATTTTCTAAGAATGAATGCATTTTCACTATATAATCAATAGAGCCCTGCCCTAACACCAGAACCCCTGACCCTGGGGCCATGAAATTCACAATTTTGGAAGAGGCACTCTTGCTCATCATAACTATGTACTTAGTTACTTTATTTAATACCCAGGAGCAGAGAAGAAGATTTTCAAAGGAATAATGCACTTTCACTACTTGATTTATATAGCCCCATCCTAGCACCAGAACCCCTGACCCTGGGACCATGAATTTCATAATTTTGGTAGAGGGCTCAATGCTTATTACAATCATGCCAACAGTTTGACTGCTTGATGTCTAGGAGTAAAGATTTTTAAAGACTGCATTAATTTTGGTGGTTTTAGCCCCACCCCTCAGGTCCCAGGGGGGCAGGGACCATGAAATTCACAATTTTTGTTCCCCTTTACCCATAGATGCTATATGCCAAAATTGGTTGAAATTGGTAAAGGGGTTTCAGAGAAGAAGCTAAAAATGTTCAAATGTTACAATACGACGCACGCCGACGGACGAAAACAGATAGCAATAGGTCACCTGAGTGACTGAGTATAAAATAAACTGATAGAAGATGCTTTGTTACCCAAAAGCAAGAGAAATAAGATGATCAGGATCATCGAAATAATTAGTCTAGTATTCAGTAACAACTCATAAATTAAGAAAGAATTATTCTAGTATTCAGTAACAATTCATAAATCAAGTTCTAATCTCTCTCCCATTTATATTTTTTTCCTATAAGTTTTATTTTCTATTATGGCCCCACTCTACCCCTCGAGGTCTTGATTTGAACAATCTTGAATCTACACTACTGTATATCACTTTTTATTTACAAGAACTTTATTTTGGTGTAATTACGCGAGACTAAGATTATATAGAGCAATAACCACAATTCATGAATATTCTGTCTCGCTAATAAAGAGTCAATGACTATCTTGCTAAAATAAGTGATCTACAGTACCTGAAGATGTTTCTGTAATAAAATGACTAATCATGGCATTGTTGTTCTTGAGAAGATATTTTTATTGATCTTTCCTATATATTCCTAACTAAAACTTTGATAACCTGTTGTCCCCTCCCTACCCCAAGGGGTCATGACTTGAACAAATTTGAACAAATTTGAATTAATGTTACCCAAGGATGCTTCCATATATATAATTCAAATCATGGCTTTTCTGTTCTTGAGAAGATTGTTAAAGATTCTTCCTAAGTATAATACTATTCATATGTTAATCTTTGATTGTCCATTGTGGCCCCACCCTACTCTAGAGTCATGATTTAAACAAAATTGAATCTACACTACCTGAGGATGGTTCCATGTAAATATAACCAATCATGGCTTTGCTGTTCTTGAGAAAAGAATTTTTTCAAGATTTTTCCTATGTATTCCAATGTAAAATATTCATTGTCCATTGTGGCCGCACCCTACCCCCGGGGATCATGAGTATAACAAACTTGAATCTACACTACCTGAAGATGTTTCCACATAAGTTTCCTCTTTCTTGGCCCAGTGGTTTTGAAGTAGTAGATTTTTCCAATGTATTCCCATGTAAATTTTGATCATTCATTGTGGCCCCACCCTACCACCAGGGGTCATGATTTTAACAAACTTGAATCTACACTACCTGAGAATGTTTCCACATAAGTTTCATCTTTCTTGGCCTAGTGGTTCTGGAGACAAAGATTTTTAATGATTTTTCCTATGTATTCCTATGTTAAACTTTGATCGCCCATTGTTGCCCCACCCTACCCCTGGGGGTTATGATTTTAACAAACTTGAGTCAACATTACCTAAGGATGATTCCACATAAGTTTCATCTTTCTTGGCCCAATAGTTCTGGAGAAGAAGATTTTTAAAGATTTTTGCTATGCATTCCTATTTAAAACTTTGATTGCCCATTGTGGCCCCACCCTACCACTGGGGGTTATGATTTTAACAAACTTGAGTCTACACTACCTGAAGATTGATTGATTGATTGTATATTGTTTAACATCCCCCTCGAGAATTTTTCACTCATATGGAGACGCCACCATTTGCCGGTGGAGAGCTGCAAATTTTGTCCTATACTCGGCACTTACTCGGCCATTGAGCAGTGAGGGATCTTTTTCGTGCCAGCACCTACTGCGACACGGGACCTCGGTTTATACGGTCTCATCCGAAGGACCGGTCTCCACGTCCCACAGTGGGATTCGAACCCACGACGTAAGGATCACTCATTACTTCGCGACTCTGGAGCAGACGCTCTAACCACTGCGCCATGCGGACGACCACTACCTGAAGATGATTCCATATAAGTTTCATCTTACCTGGTCCAGTGGTTCTTGAGAAGAAGATTTTTTAAAGAAGCCATTAATTTTTCACTAATTCTTAATTATCTCCCCTTGAAAGAAGGTGTGTCCCTTCATTTGAACAAACATGAATCACCTTTACCCAAGGATACTTTGTGGCAAATTTGGTTGAAATTGGCCCAGTGGTTCTTGAGAAGAAGTCAAAAATGTGAAAAGTTTATGCACGACGCACACCCGCACGACGACGGATAAAAACAGATAGCAATAGGTCACCTGAGTGACTCATCTGTTCTCCATCAACAGATTGTTTTTCCTACATATTATTATGTAAAATTTTAACTCTACCACAGGGGTTCATGATTGAACAAACTACAATACACACTACGTTAGGATGCACCCATATAAATATATCTAATCATGGATTTGCTGTTCTTGAGAGGAGGGCTTTAGAAATCTTTCCTATGTATTCGTATGTAAAACTATGATTGCCTATTGTGGCTTTTCCTGGGGGTCATGATTTGAACAAATCTGAATCTACACTACCTGCAGATGCTTCATATAAATATGACTAATCGTGGTTTTGCTGTTCCTATGAAAAAGATTTTTAAAGATTTATTCATATATATATTTCTATGTAAAACTTTAATCCCCCATTCTTCCCCACCCTACCTCTGGGTATCATGTTTTGAACAACTTCAATCTACACTACCTAAAGATGATTCCATAAATATGACTGATCATCAGCTGTACTTGAGAAGAACATTTTTAAAGTTAATTTCTTTATATACTTATGTATAAGTTTGATTTCCTCTTGTGGCCCCTCCCTACCCCTGTGGGCCATGATTTGAACACACATTTATCTACACTTCCTGAGGATACTTTTATATTAATATGACTAATAATGGCTAAGCTGTATATGAGAATAAAAATTTTAAAGATATTTCCCATATCTTTTTATGTAAAACTTTAATCCCCTTTTGTGACTGCACCTAACCCAGGGGGTCATGATTTGAACAAACTTCAATCTTCACTACCTGAGGATGCCTTTATATTAATACATGTATGACTAATAATGAAGACTAATAATGGCTTAACTGTTCTTGAAAAGAAGATTTTTAAAGATATTTCCTACATATTCCTATGTTTACTTTGACCCCCCTGTTCTGGCCCTGCCATACCTTCGGGGGTCATGATATGAAAAAATTTGAATCTACAGTGTGTAATGAAGCTTTCATATAATTTCATCTTTTCTGGCCCAGTGGTTCTTCAGAAGAAGATTTTTACAAGATGTCACCAAATTTTCACAAATTCTTAATTACCTCCCATTAAAAGAGGGTGTTGCACTTCCTGTGGCCCCTTAACCCAAGGATGCTTTGTGGCAAGTTTGGTGAAATTGGCCAAGTGGTTCTTGAGAAGAAGTCAAAACTGTGAAAAGGTTACAGACAGATGGGACAGATAGCTAGACAGACTGAAAGACAGCTAGTCAGACAAAGGGATGCCAGACAAAGTGTGATCAGAAAAGCTCACTTGAGCCTTCAGCTCAGGTGAGCTAAAAAGTGATTTCTTACCATGGTAAGAAAGAGTAGCAGTGGAGACACAAACTCTACAGCTGGAACTGATGAACCTAACATCAATGAGTAGACACTTCTTGCAGTATCAAGCACAGCAATAACAGCAATCCAACCTGCAAGTGCCTACAAAAAGTAAGTTTATACAAGCTATAATTCTGAAGTAAAGTGAAATTTTCATTGCTTTATTATAAATACTGGTACTCACACTGTAATATTCAAGTGGCCCATAGGCAAAAGCACTCACCTGAGTCAATCTAGCTCTGTTGTTCTTCAAAATGAGAATTTTTAAATATTTGTTCCCTGCTTTATCCCAATGAAAAATTTACACCTCATATTGTGACCAACCCTACACTTAAAGAGTCATAACTTAAGCAAATTTGAATCCATATACAACAAGAATGCTTTCATCATTATGATAAACATGGGCATGAATAATAAAAACATAGGTAACTAGATGCTGTCATGACACAGTAATACCCGCACTAATGTGTTTGCCTCTAAATACAGGCACGTAGCATCAGGGGGGCCAGAGGGGGCCTCCTCCCCCCCCCCCCCCCACTTTTTTCGAAACATAAATTTTTAATATTTATTGGAAATGTTCATGAATGGGTGGTTGCCCCCCCCCCCCATTTTGTTGCATTATAGTCAAATAAAGGTAACGTAATAGTGTATATATAAAATTGGGGTACTGAAAGAAGTTGGAATCCCCCCCCCCCCTACAAAATAGGATTTTTGAGTTTTGAAAAAAAAAATTTTTTTGGCTTGTCAAATTTTTTCAGGTAAGTTGAAATTTTTTTCTCTGGCTACAACCCCCCCCCCCCCCTCCACTTTCAAAAACGTTGCTACATCCCTCAAATGTGCTCTGACTGCTCTCCTTCAAATTCTGGTAACCAGGGAAGAAGCACACATTTAAATCAAGCATAGAATGCTCAGGTGAACATGCAGCCCATATGGGCATCTTGTGTAAATCAGGTGTGGATCCAGGAATTTTTTCCAGGGGGATCCAACCCAGAAATTTCTTGACAAGCAAAAAGAAAAAAAACACTTAAACTCCTTTCCCAAATGTGAAAACCTATTTCATGGTGGTGGTGGTGGTGGTGGTGGTGGTGGGGTTGGGGGGGGGGGTTGGGGGGGGGGGGGGGTTGGCCACTCAGGTTTTAAGCTCCATATGTATAACTTTTCATACCAACTTAACAGGGGGTCTGTGTTTTCTAAGGGGGGGGGGGGGTCCAAGGTCACTTTTAGTATTAGTTGCTTTCGTATATAGATTTCGTGTATAGGTTCCGGACCCTGGACCCCCTGTAGATGTACGCATGTATATATTTCATTACCTGTCTGATATCCCTAATAATGTAAACTCTGATAAAGAGAGAATTTTTGAAAGATTTGAATAAAAAAAAAAGGGGGGTGGTTAACTTTCTACCCATAATTGGAACTTGTTGAATTTATTGTCAAAACAACAAATATTATTATTTTAGTGCATAGCTTTTTTGATGAACTTAAAAAAAAAAATTAGATGCCAAAATGACAACTTGTACAAATTTTTATCACTATCTGGGTAGGACTCGGAGAACCCCTTTCCAAATCTTGACCCAATCAACTTTGTCAAAAATCAGCCCCCACCCACGATTCACCTGTTTTCCTGTCATATTTAGAATAGATAACACAATCTTATGAAAAAAAAATTGTACGTAATTAAAACATAAATTTTACAAATGTACACCTTTTTGGAAAATTTCTAGACTTGTGCGTGGAATTACGTCACATTGCGAGCACTACTTTTACCGTTATCATTATTGTTTTGCACATGGTGTATGTACATCATTATTACCACTGGGATTATTAAAATTTAGTGTGTGTTTTAAATGGATTTATTATTCTATCAAGTTAACAGTACCTATAACAGGCGGTAAGTACATTATGAATATATTATTTTAAACATTTAGTATAGAACGGGGTTTGTTTGTTGTTTAACGTCCTTGTCAAGAATTTTACACTCATATGGAGACACCACCACTTGCCGGTGGAGGGCTGCAAATTTCAACATATGGTCGACATTTAGGGCCATTGAGCAGTGAGGGATCTTTTTTAGTGCCAACAACTACTGCAACATGGGACCTCGGTTTATACAGTCTCATCCAATAAACTGGTCTCCACGTAACCTAAGGATCAACTCCTTACTCCACGACTCTAGAGCAGACGTTCTAACCACTGCACCACACAGGCGACTAGAACGGGGTAAAATAATCGGAAATGAAAATGGTTAGGGGCGTATAGTTGGAAAAGGGTCAAAGATCATTGGAATGCCACAATTATACAAATTATACAATGAGGCAAGTCCCTGGGGTCATTCCACTTGATTTTTGGAACTGGAAACAATAAAAAAGCTTTCATTAAAGCAAAAGCCCTTAAGTCATCTTTGTATTATAACACACTAAATAGGATATATATGGGGTCATGACCACCTAGAGGTCATTCCCAACCCTTAAAACTTCAAATGATCATATACATTGTATCTTGAAAATGGTTGAAAACTCTCCCCTTAACCATATATAATATTGTCCCTCAAGTCATTATGCATTAAATGGCATAAAGGTTATGACCCCTTGAAGTCATCCTGGAAATGATCACAATATGACCTGCATCAAAAGTGTGTTAGTGATAATCTGCTTGACATTTTATTCAGGACCCCCTAGGGTCAGTCCACCCTCCTAGAATTAGAAAATGAAAATCATTCAGAGACCCGCCATTATATTTTGTGTACATGTACATTTTTGTATTCTTCACAATTTATTTTATACCAAAAGAAGTTATAAATAATTTGTATAAATAAATGAGCCTGGGGCTGGGAAGGGGGAAAAGGGGAAGGAGTTATGTCTGCATGGTCTTAAATGTTGAAAACTCCAAGAATTTGTGAATATTACCCCTGCGAGATGATATTCATGACTTAAAGAACTTTTATGAGTTGTTCATCATTGTTCATGAATGCTCATAAAAGATTCATAACAGCTTCATAAAAGTAGTTCATGAATTTAATTCATGAAAATATTCATATTGAAAAAAATTTATACTTCATGAACAATGATGAACCTTCGTGAAATTCGAAAATCTTCAACATTACACAGCAACACAAGTTTCATGATTACTCATGACTCAATAAAATTTAAATTCTATGATTCAAATTTATTGATATTGAATTTTTAAAGTACAATTTTAATTAACTGAGTGTTCTCCATTGGTAATTACTTAACATTACATGTATTACAATACTGTTCAATGTTGAAATGGAAAGACTACATAGACTGTAGAAAAGCTTGCTGGAGCTTTTTTTTAACATCATTATAGACTATCAGTTGCAAATCAGGGAATTTAAGTCTTAAAATGCAAAATATGTATACAATTGTGGTACATACACATTAACATGAATTGTATTTTCTCATGTCCATTTAAGAAATACCTTAATCATCAATGTTTTCAAGTAATGATAACCATCACTCACAGTCCAGTACGTTAAAAAAAATACTATTTGATCCCTAAAACTTATAATTTATTATTTAAAAAAAGCCTCCATGCCTATTGCAACATTTTTGTTCATGGGCATAAATGATTCTAAAATTTACAACATATATTCATTTTTTATAAGGTAACATCTTAAAGTAGAAAATAAAAATTGTGAGGTTAATAAACATGTTGCTGATCATCTGAAAAGATATCATATTAGTCTTGTCTATGATGTCAGTTTCAAATTGTGTGCTTGCATGAGAAGATCCAGAACAACTTGGTTCCATAAGAATCATACTCCTGTCAATTCTCCTTCACTGAAACATAGCTGATTCTTGCGGCTGATTCTTCTGTCTTTTGGAATATTTCAGTTCTATAGTTGTTTCTTTGTTAGACCTGTAATAATTGTACGCTCTTAATGAAAGTTGTATTTTAAGTGAAAAGCCATTGACATAAAAAAAAACAAATTAAAAAAAAAAAACAACAAATATTCAGCAACTATCTGCATAGTTTCAAACGTCTAGTATGCCTGTGATGACTTAAGTTTCAATTATGTGAAAAATTTTGATGTATAAATAGAAACACAATTGTTTTCCCTGCATTCAATAAGCTAAATAATTAAAAAAAATGTTAAGTTTAAATACTATATAAAAATATTTCTACATAATAACGGTGCTTTTTGCCCAGTAATCTGTGAGGACACAGATTATGTCAAACTCTGTCAACTAACAACACTATATATAATTTTAAATCGTATTTTATCTCCCTCTTGTTTCATTCTTGAGAAAAAAGCAAATGCCTTGCCAATCTCATTTTAAAATTCGAACAAACCAAACAATAAATAGGGCCATAAAAATATAATTGATTTAAGAACATTTGAGACAACAACCTTGTAGCTTGTGCACACGATATCCATCCCCCGATTTTAACATCAGTGAACATGTATAAAACAGATGAAAACTTACTCAATGACACGTTGTGAGCTGATGAATGCAGGTGGAACAGTGCTGATCTTTCTGTGGATGTTGTTTGCATGGTGTGCATTTAAAATATAACCTCCAATGCAGTGTATATTGTAAATTCTGAAATTTACAAACTTCTATCGCCCACCGAAAAAGGCCGCCAGCTTTTAAGCGGGTGGCGAGGCAATTCGTATCAATAATTTTTCACACCCTTTTTATTCAAAGATTTTTTTAAAATTTGTAGAAACGTTGGCATAAATATATTGAAAAAAGTAAAACTTTATTTAATAGTACCAGTCCACGATTAACTAGGCCTATTTATTCATCATTTTTTATCAAGGTACCTCAAACAAGAATACATTGGCGGCCAATTAATATTACGGGTATGATTTGAATCGCAACCTCAATCGTTTTTATAAAACGTCGTTTGATTGGACGCTTCTGGTAGCTGATTTATAACATCATTACTGATTAGTTAAGCAGTAACGCGAGCGCCAAATTTTCAAGACGTGCTTTGCATTGTCTGAAGATTGTCGATAGATCTAGATTCTGTCAACATTTTTTTAATGGAGTGTTAAATATTATATCCATAGAAAGGAAGGACTGCAATACAGAAAGCATGTGGTAAGAACATGATTCTTTAATTATTTTGGTTCCAAA